GCCCCCAAATAGTGCTATCAAGCAGCCCACTCTTCAAAAAAAAAAAAAAAAAAAAAAAAAAAAGCGGTGGGGGGGGGAGGAGTAGGTGCAATGCTATTGAAAGTACTTTGTAGGGGTATAAAAGAATCTCTCCAGAGATGGCATCTCACAGACTCTGGGTCCTCTGGCTTCAGAGGGGGCTGAGCTCTGAGTTTCCCATGAAAGAGGGTGCAAAGAAAGGGGGCAAGTTCCTCAAATGGGTTCCTCATTCAGGGAGCATAGAAATGATGCCACTCCCCTATGTAAAATCCTCCTGTGGCTTCCCATCACTGAAGACTAAGATCCAGGCTCTGTATCCTGGATTACAAAGCCACATATGAGGGAACATTGGCCTGCATCTCCATTGTCATCTCATGTGACCATCACCATCAGCCACTCAATTCCAGCCTCAGTGACCTTCCCTCAAACACTCAAGCTTGTTCCAGCCCTAGGGCATTTGCACTGTGGTTCCTGCTGTTTGGTCTGTTCTTCTTCTGATGTGGCTAGCTCATTTTGGTCACTCAAAACTCACCTGGTTAGGAATGCCTTCCTCAACCACTCAGTCTAAAGTAGCCCTCCCTGTCCCCACTCACGCTCCATCACAATCACCCATTTTAATTCTCTGTGTGATTTTCTTATCCTGCCACATATTCATTTGCTTGTTTCTGGTCTCTTTCGTCTCCCCTCAGTAAAATGTAAGCTCTATGGCAGGGTTTAGGGGGAGCCCTGATGGTACAGTGGTTAAAGAGATTGGCATTACCCGAAAGATTGATGATTCAAACCCTCCAGCTGCTCTGCAGGAGAAAGACGAGGCAGTCTGCTTCTATAATGATTACAGCCTTCAAAACCCTAAGGGGCAGTTCTACTCTGTCCTATAATGTCACTGTGAATCAGAATCGACTTTATGGCAGTGAGTTTATGGCAGTGGGTTTATGGCAGGGGTTGGCAAACTGTAGCCTGTGGACTAAATCTGGCCAACTGCCTGTTCGTGTAATTAAAGTTTTATTGTCCATGGCTGCTTATGAGCCACAACAGTAGACATGAATAGTTGTGACAGAGCATCTGTCCAGCAAAGCTAAAATGTTTATTATCCAGCTCTTTACAGAAAAAGTTTACAGAGTGTCTTAGTTTTCTAGTGTTGAACAGAAATTTATTTTCTCACAGCTCCTGAGACTGAAAGTCCAAATTGGCCATGTCAGTTCCTTTCTTGCTGGTAACCTGGGCATTCCTTGGTTCGTGGTTACCCTCACATGGCAGCTATCTTCCTCAGTATGTGCTTGCATCTGTCTATGTCTGTGCTGCTCTTAACACAACTCAGGAGTAACTAGGTTTAGGACCCACCCTGCACTGGTATGACCACCACTGATTGATCACATTATATTACATTAGATTACATCCACAAGTATAGGGATTAGGGTTCCAGCACATATTCTGGGGGATACCCAATCCATGACACTGATCCCTGGCCCTGCTGAAGCAACCATGTTGTCCATCTTGTTCACTATTGCATTCATAGTCTAGAACAGTGCATGAGTTATAGTAGATGCTCCCTAAATATTTGTTGAATGTAATTAAGAAACGAGGACTGTGAGCCCAGAGTTGGCCAGAGGCTGTCGCAGAGGGGCTGGCAGAGCTTTTCAGAAAGGCACCTTGTGAGATGGGCCCCCAGAAGAACCCCTCTAAGACAGATTCCTATCTTCCTCCCATCAGCAGTCTGCTCTGACAGGTCTTAGGGCAAATAAGAACCCACAGAGCATGAGGAAGTATATGGCTTCTCTGCTGACCTAATAACAGCTGCTTTCCCATCATGCTTGTCCATAGAGCCTTGGGCCAACCTATTTGAGCCACATTGAGGCCATGTTGCCCAAGTCCAGAGGACTCTGTTTTCTGTGAACACAGTGCCAGTGCAGCTCCTACTCAGAGTGAGATCTGAGAACCAGTAAATAACCTTGGCATCGTCTGAGAGCTTGTTAGAAATGCAGAATCTTGCTGGACCCTTCAATCAGAATTTGTATCATAACAAGATCCAGAGTGAATTGTCTGCACAGTAAAGTTTGAGAGGCAGTGAGCGAGAACACAATGACCTTGTAAAATCGTTCTATTCACATTTCACAAAATGGGGGGGAAAAAAAAGTGGAAGAATGAAAACAATGGAACTAAACTCTCCTTCCCACCCTCCAGACAGAAATTAAAAATCAAAGACAGTGGTTCCCAAACTCACCTGCTGGTTGGAATCACCTGGAAGAACAAAAGAAATGACTGATACCTGTGCCCCACCCCCAGAGATAGTGATTTAATAGGTCTAGGGCATGGCCTGGGAACTCTGGTAGCATAGTGGCTAAGACAGTTGCCTGCTAACCAGACAGCTGGCGGTTCAA